GGGGGGAAGGCCTCCAGGTGCAGCTGGAGCTGCTGGGGCAGACAAGCTCTTCGGTTTTTCCCATGTCGTTTCTTTGGTGAGTTTGTTGTAGTAGTATGTCTTGCCTGTGACTGGATCCTTGTGGTCTGTCCACTCAGAAGACAGTCCACCAGGGGCTGGGGGTGCTCCAGGGGCCAAGGGTGCCTTTGGTGCTCCGGGTGCCAATGGTGCCGTTGCTGCCAGTTTTGGTGCAGGCTTTTCCCACGTTGTTTCTTTTGTCAGTTTGTTGTAGTAATATGTCTTGCCTGTGACTGGATCTTTGTGCTCTGTCCAATCTAGGGGAAGACCCCCAGGGGCTGGGGGTGCTCCAGGAGCCAAAGGTGCCTTTGGTGCGCCTGGTGCCAGCGGTGTGGTTGCTGCCAGTTTTGGTGCCGGCTTTTCCCAAGTTGTTTCTTTTGTCAGTTTGTTGTAGTAATATGTCTTGCCTGTGACTGGATCTTTGTGCTCTGTCCAATCAGCAGGAAGACCACCAGGGGCTGGGGGTGCTCCAGGGGCTAGAGGTGCTTTTGGGGCGGCCGGTGTAAGCGGCGTCGTTGCTGCCAGCTTTGGTGCTGGCTTTGTCCATGTTGTTTCCTTGGTGACTTTGTTGTAGTAGTATGTCTTACCCGAACTTACATCCTTGTGTTCAGTCCAGTCAGGTGGCAGACCAACAGGTGCCGCAGGGGCCATTGGGACTCTGGGTGCTCCGGGCGCTAAAGGCGCTGCCGGTTTGGGCGCCAGCGGCGCTCCAGGCGCTGCGGGCGCCAAGGGTGCCTTAGGCGCAGCTGGGCTTGGTGAGGCAATGGACACAGTGGTAGGTCTTGGTGGTGGCGGTGCTCCTAAGGAGGGTGTTGGTGCAGAGGAAGTTGAAATGGTCGGCCGTCCTGGGACTGGTGGGGATGGACTGGAAGGTATTTTCGGGGCACCGGGCGCCGAAGGAGCTAGGGGTGCCATTGGCCTTCCGATCCCAATCGTGGGTGCCAATGGTGCTTTGGGCGTACCGGCGCCAGGCGGTGGGGGACCTGGAGTGCTTGCTCCCGATGGTCTCGTCCACTGCGTCTCCTGACCGATAACAGTAACATGCAAGAAGATATATAGCTGCGCAGTACAGCACTTGAGTCATGCTATGCACAACCTTGCCTTGGTGACCGTGTTGTAATAGAAGGTCTTGCCACTTGATGGATCTTTGTGCTCCGTCCAATTCGGTGGCATCGACATACTTGAAAAGAATATGACAGGAAAGGCTCAGACGTATGTGACCAGCTATTGTACTTGCCTCAGAAAGGCGAGAGCAACAACAAGCGGAATGTCTACGTCTGGTCTGCTGGTGCATTTGGTCAAAACATGATCCACCTGATCAAGGCGCTGCAGGCAAGTTGCATCAAATTTGCAAAGCGGTGATCAGTCCGTGTCCTCGCAGAGTGTTTACACAAAAAGGCACTCCTTGAACTGATCAGATCCCCCTTGAACTTTTCTCTTGAGCGCTCCTCTTCCGAGGAGGCGACCGCGCCGGCACGACAACTGCTTGAAGCAACCGCAAGGCCTGGCCTTGAAGTGATCTCACTGTTGCCTCTCTCTATGTGTCTTCCTGACCCCGTTCCGGGCTGGCAAACTTGAAGGATGCTGCATGTACTGCCCTCTGTGTGAGTCTAAGCGGTATGTGTCTAGACTCTAGACTGAGATTGTCGCTTGAAAAAGAACATCGAGTCTGTTTCAGAGTTCAAACAAGTGTGACGAAGCTTGTGGCGAAGCTCGTGCAAAGTTTGACATCTTGTCGGTGCCCGTGTGGAGCCAGTCTTGCTGAGGCCCGTCAGATTCATAGAAGTCTCAAGCAGAGCTGTCACCTCTACCTAAACCCCGATGTAAAGCATAATTCAAGGAGAGAAGCACAGGGCATGAAAGCAAGAATCAACTTTAGCAGAAAGGGCCTTAGCTTAGGAGCAAAACATGGTAAAACAAACTGTCACTATCCTCCACACCGTGTTGAATGCTCTTTGGTCAATGGCACAGGCAAAGCGCACCGATGGAAGACCCTGCTTTGGGTCGGAGTCTGGGAGCAGGCTGACAGTGTACCTGTAGAAGGCCCATTGATTTGGGAAAGCACATTCTATCCATTGCCACACCTCCTCAAAGCTGCTCAAAGAAGCGAACAAGGTGAACATGGAGAAAGGAAGACAAGAAAGAGGTGAAGAAAAGAAGGTAGACTTCGGCCCCTTTATACAATCAGGCCCCTTTCAATGGGCATTACCTTCCCTTTTTCATCTTGTTCTGATTCGGTTCTGAAGATTCTTGCTCTGAGTCTCTTCTGGTTCTGGCGGATGATTCTAATTCTGCTTCGTCCGTCAGGTCCCTCACATCCCTCAGGTCCCAGTGCACGCTGCAAGGCAGACATCCACCACGGCATAGTAATCCACTCCCTTTCAAACCATGATCGCTCAGAGAGTCAAACAGTCAATAAGCCAACAACTGAGAGAGCTGGTGCACTTAGTAGTAGCATCACATCAAACTCAAATCTGCTCTTATCTGCTGATCTAAGACTCTTTATGCACTTCGCTTCACAAACATGCCTCCTCGATTGGTCTTTGGACATCAAAATCCATAGCCAATTCTCCATTTCTGGCCGAAGCAGAGCTTCATTGGAACCGCATAAACTGCTGTCAGTTCTAAACCGCTTTAGGACACATATGGAGGTCTCAGATCTCGATCCAATTGTTGAAGCAATGTAAAAAAAAAAACTGAGGGGGATTACCTCATCGTCTAATGATGAAACAATCTCTCTAATTTTGAAGAGTCCTCCAGAGCTGCAACCGGCCCTCGTTGGTGTACAAGCACCTCAGTTATCTGCTTGACGAGCACAGTTGAAAGGTCTTCGCCATGCTTTTAGACTTTTGTATGCTTTTGGGCGTTCCACCCCCTGTTGGTGTTGCTTCACGGAAATGGGCATCAGAATTATTACTGCATATACAAATGGCCTGCCCACCTCTGAAAAAAGAGTAAAAAATCTCATCATCACATAATATAATCCTTTGCTCCATCATACTACCTCTTCCCTCTGTGGGCCATTCCGAGGCACCCGAAGACGTCTCCAGGGACAACACCAACCGGCGCCCTGGATTGGACGGCGTTCGGATTGGACGGCCCTGGTGGCGTGTAGATCTGCCATCTAATCGTGGACTGGCTTATGAAGGCGTCAAAAAGGAATCGAACCCTCTCTGTTGACAAGTTGAACAATAAGTGGAGTGAAAAAGCTGAGGCCAACGTATATACATATATTTTAGTATATACGCTGGGAAACCAAACGAGAAGGCATCCCACATGTCAGTTCTCATACTCTGGTGGCCGAGTTCTCCCACGCCCTGGCCTTCGTTTGTGCGGGGGCACATCCGGCTGCACAGACCAGGAAGCTACCTGCAACTGCAATCAGTGCGGATCGCAACTCGGTTTCTCAACCGCTCTTCGATTCTCCTCTATGGGTTAATGATAATCAGCAATTGAACCACAACGTGCACACCAGAAACAGCACACAAACATAAGCAAACTTGAAGGTCGCCACCTCCGTCTGCGGGGGTGGCTTGAATCCGATCCGGAAGTGATGCAGCTGGTCTCGCGCGAAGGCTTCGCCGCAGGCACCCACTAGCACACTAGCACCAAGGCACCTCAGTCTTCACTTGCTTTCAAAAGCAGTCATCCTAATTTGCATCTATTCTCTTTGGCTGTGCACATGCCAAACATATGAGAGGATGATAGAGCATGAGGAATCATTCCTTGCGGATCTCTGCGCCTGCAGACCGTCGGATAGAGGTCCGAGGTGTCGGTGGGCTTCCGCCGAGTAAAGCCCATCTCAGCAGGTGTCGGTGGGCGTTCGTGTCGGACGAGGTGTCGTTAATTAATTTGGAGTCCATTCCGTCAAAGTCGCAGAGGTGGACGTGTAAAGAATTTGGTCAAACATCGGAACGCCTTTGCCATTTCAATCTTTGACAAGCTCCAGTTTCCCTTTCAGAAACTGAGCACAGGTTGATGTCTCTTGTCATAAAGTTGTTGTTCTTGTGTCGTCCCTGTCCCTCTTTTCCTAGAGGCAAGCGGCAACAAGTGGGTTTCAACAAAACGAGTTTACAGGTTCCTTCATACATGAATGGATGTCGTGAGGCGTGGCCACTCCGCCACTCTAGTAGCGTCCTTGCTCCTAGTAGCGATGCCCCTTGCTCCTAGTAGCGATGCCCCTTGCTCCTAGTAGCGTCCTTGCTCCTAGTAGCGTCCGTGCTCCTAGTAGCGATGCCCCTTGCTCCTAGTAGCGATGCCCTTTGCTCCTAGTAGCGTCCTTGCTCCAGTAGTGATGCCCCTTGCTCCTAGCTCGTAGTAGCGATGCCCTTTGCTCCTAGTAGCATCCTTGCTCCTAGTAGCGATGCCCTTTTCTCCTAGTAGCGTCCTTGCTCCAGTAGCGATGCCCCTTGCTCCTAGTAGCGTCCTTGCTCGTAGTAGCGATGCCCTTTGCTCCTAGTAGCATCCTTGCTCCTAGTAGCGATGCCCTTTGCTCCTTGTAGCGTCCTTGCTCCAGTAGTGATGCCCCTTGCTCCTAGCTCGTAGTAGCGATGCCCTTTGCTCCTAGTAGCGATGCCCCTTGCTCCTAGTAGCAATGCCCTTTGCTCCTAGTAGCGTCCTTGCTCCAGTAGTGATGCCCCTTGCTCCTAGCTCGTAGTAGCGATGCCCTTTGCTCCTAGTAGCGTCCTTGCTCCAGTAGCGATGCCCCTTGCTCCTAGTAGCGTCCTTGCTCGTAGTAGCGATGCCCTTTGCTCCTAGTAGCATCCTTGCTCGTAGTAGCGATGCCCTTTGCTCCTAGTAGCGTCCTTGCTCGTAGTAGCGATGCCCTTTGCTCCTAGTAGCGATGCCCCTTGCTCCTAGTAGCGATGCCCTTTGCTCCTAGTAGCGATGCCCCTTGCTCCTAGTAGCGATGCCCTTTGCTCCTAGTAGCATCCTTGCTCCTAGTAGCGATGCCCTTTGCTCCTAGTAGCATCCTTGCTCCTAGTAGCGATGCCCTTTGCTCCTAGTAGCATCCTTGCTCCTAGTATTCACCAACTTCACCAAGAGGCGATGGGAAGACCATCAAAAGTGGTCACTGCATCCTCGATGCGCACGGCAAAGAAAAGCCCATTGGCGCCACGCCTCCGCGGGAGCCAAATAGGGAGCCTTTTCCAACGAGCACAAACAACTTCCATTTTGTTTCATCGCTTTGTTCATCTTCTTTCCTCCAAGTCTTCAGGAACCGCTTAGAAAAGACCAACGACAAGGAGAACTGTCAAACGCGTGCGCCCACAATGCAAACCACACTGCCTGGCTGGCATGTTGCCAAACACAAGGCCTCAAAGCGTGCGAACAGCTAAGATGTTGAACTTCCCAAGCGAGTGACTGTGCTCCACTAAGAAAAACAACTTCCGTTGCCATAGGTCTTTAGTAGGACAAAGGATAGTGAAGGCACACCGAATTCAATGTCGTGCTTTTGATGCGTTCATTTGTGCTAAGCTCCTCACAGTTCGTGGCCAGTTCCTGACAAGGCTGCATTGAACCTTTAGATCATTCAGCGAGCACCTTTGGATGTTTCACTTTGACCAATCACTTACCATGTCTTTCCGTTCAAAATCACCAACATCATCAATTGAATCAAACGTCAAAAACATACTATTATGATCCAGCATGACTTCCAAACTGGCAAGGCAAAGGAGTCCTGGGGCTCTCTTCGCATGGCAGTCCGGCAGTTGTTCATCAGCAGGCAGTGGTCCTATGGCAAGGCAACCCTCGACGGGAACCATACAACGATAATTATATAAGTCTATATATTTGTATACAATGATTACAGTTATATCAATATAGCGTCGCTACAAGTACAATTGCTTTGGATGTGCTGGTCGTCTCTCATTTTGGACGAAACCCCGACACCCAGCAAGTTTAACTCAAAGACTCAAAGAGCAGTTGGAGGATGTGTTTCTTCTTCTTCCAAAACCAAGCTGGGTCATGTCCTAATCCAAGATTTCACTGTGGTTTTGACATGTTTTGACCCAGAGAGAGACAATGCTTTGCGTCCACTGGGTCTAGAGGCCTGCAGTCGCTCTGAGAAGAAAGTGAAACCTTGTGGCTGGAATAAGGCATCACGTCCTGGGACAGAACACATACGACATCCGGACAACGCACGGCAAGGCAAGCTGCAACAAACGCATCATGTAGCATCGTGCAGCATGCTTTTGGCAGCAACGCAAGCTGCCCCGCCTGGATCTGGTTCAAGGTCCCTCAGCCTCGCACGGATCCTCTTGAAGGTCGTGCGTGCCAGTTCAGATACCTGGAAAAGCATCCCTCATTCGTATGGAACGAAAGAAAAACATCACTCGTTCTTCACTCGTTCTTCACTCCAGTGAGGCGTCGTGACGAATGAGGTGCAAACCTCTTCCATCTTCCTCCCGTTGAGTGAAGCAAAAAGGCCTTCACCCAGTGGCCTCAGTCGTTCAATATCCAAAAAAAGACATAACGATATAATAATCCCTTAGTCTTTGACTTGAAACCAAACAACATATTGAAAAACACACACAATAGGTCGTCAGTGACCAGATGTGACCAGTGCCCAATTGGGGCCGCCTTGGTTCAGTGGTTCGGTCCTTCAGGGCTTGGCTTCTGAACACCCAAGAGATATCGCCCATTGCAGACCTGTCAGGCGGTACTCTCTTCGCATCGTGAAGGTGACATATGTGGAAAATCCAAAAAGAACGGTGTCTTGGCACCTGCACAAGGCCGACCAAGAAGAAGTTCACGAATTGCGACCTCAGAGCTGACACGCCTTTGGGATTTCTGGCACGCCTTTGTGGCGACGCCTTTGACGACCCAAAGACCTCACCGCACTTCTTGATGAACCCACTGGGAGCTGACCCATCCCGGCGGCTATTCGGCTGCACAGAAGCAACCTGACGTCATCGACGAAGTCCGATGTTTGTTTGAGATGCTGGAAAATCTGAAACACTTCTAATCATCGAAGTCATGTGAATGCCTCTGAGATATGGTCAAGACGCTTGACCTTGCACCTGAGTTGCCACTCTCTCTCTCTCTCTCTTCAGAGTTATACCTCTTTGGAAGAATGCACAAAAATGCACAAGCCAAGGTCACGCAAGCAGACTCTCTATGTGCTCCAAAGCAACAACAACAACCATTTCGTACAAGACATACAGGTGCTTCATTTTGTCGATTTCTCTGTCCCGCACATCGTACTTTATACTTAGATCTGCCGATCTACTTAGTTTCAAGGATTCTATTTGTTTCAACCTCATAGAGCAGCATTTCATCCAGTTTGCCAAGACCCAATATGACGTTCGATAGCGTGTTCAGCTGAGTGGCATTCGACAGAAATCTCTGAGGTTTTTTCTCGCGGACTTCGAGATAGCTACCTGGAGCAGCTTGTTTTATATGATCTTTGTGCCGATATTCTGGTGGCAGAAACAGCAACGTCGTTTCTTGAAAGCTCATCGGCCGAAGTTCACCTTGGCTCCTCGACAGAACAGTCTAACCCCTGGCCTCGGGGACTCCTTCCAGCATCATTCGGCAGTTCTGCCCCAGGACCTGCACGACCGCGCAGAGCGTACGGCGTCGTACGGCGGACTCGGAACGGGCCAGAACGGAACGGATCAATGCCGGCCGAGCAGCGGCATCTCTAGTGAAGCCCGTCAACTGCAGGAAACCTGGAAACAAAACACTTACAAAACAGGAAACAAGAGCACTTACGCCTCCAGGATCAACTAACCCAACCTGCTTGTGGCAGTCAGCAGTAGTTAGTTGTGGGCACAATGTCAATGCAGGCAACTTTGTGAAACCATCCGTAGAGTACAATCCCCTCTCCTTTCTGCTTGAAGCGGAAGCGACAAGTGACCAAATGCGTACTTTTAGTATATACTATACATGTTTTCAATCATTTCGATTGCGCCTTGGCTGGCGCCAACTATGAGAAAGTCTTGGATCTGGGCGTCGGCAATGATGGCACACTCCTGCGAGTTTTACTCTGTCTCTTCCTGGTCCGTCTCTCCATTCCGAAACGTCTGCTGCTTTCTGAGAAATCAAAGGCTCACACTGCTTCCAAAGGCGCTCTGTCCTCGTCGTCATCTAAAAGGAAGCCCACTTTCCTGTAACCAGTATCTACCTGCAGGACGGAGAGGCACTTCTGATTCGCACAAAGCCGCTCAAACTTCGTGGCGGCGGTGAGGACAAAAGCAAACTTTGCGAGCCAGTGACGTCTTGCATTCTCAAATCTCGCCTCCAACCTAGTAGCAACGGCCTCCAACCTAATAGCGATGGCCTCCAACCTGATAGCGATGGCCTCCAACCTAGTAGCAAAGGCCTCCAACCTAATAGCGATGGCCTCCAACCTGATAGCGATGGCATCCAACCTAGTAGCAATGGCCTCCAACCTAATAGCGAGGCCTCCAACCTAATAGCAATGGCCTTCAACCTGAAAGCACTGGCAATAGCAATGGCCTCCAACCAAATAGCGATGGCCTCCAACCTGAGAGCGAACGCCTCCAACCTGGTAGCAATGGCCTCCAGCCTACTAGCGATGGCCTCCAACCTGACAGCGATGGCCTCCAACCTAATAGCAATGGCCTCCAACCTGATAGCCATGGCCTCCAACCTGATAGCGATGGCCTCCAACTCAGTTGCAATGGCTTCCAACCTAACAGCGATGGCCTCCAACCTGATAGCGATGGCCTCCAACCTGGTAGCAATGGCCTGCAACCTAATAGCGATGGCCTCCAACCTAATAGCAATGGCCTCCAACCTAATAGCAATGGCCTCCAACCTGATAGCGATGGCCTCCAACCTAATAGCGACGGCCTCCAGCCTACTAGCGATGGCCTCCAACCTGACAGCGATGGCCAGCAATCACCTCCAACCTAATAGCGATGGCTTCCAACCTAATAGCAATGGCCTCCAA